GGATGGACTTTTTCACTGGAGGAAGCGTTATTATTGATTATGGACTGGTATATTTTGGCCAGAAGCGAAGGTTTAAAGTTAAACGCGTTAATTTGGATTTGTTTTTTTACAAACACGTATCTTTTCGGTTCTCAAGACGTTAACTGATGGGCTGGAGTCGTGTGATGCTTTTTCTCTCGCTATTGTGTATATAATCAAGCTTCTGTATTTTCTGGGATATTCATTTTTAAATGTCACAGAGTGCAAAAGGTACTTGGTAACATGAATTCTTGTACTTTTTTGCAACTTCCTTGGGCTTAAAAGAATTCATATCTTCTTCCATCAACAATCTCTCCCACTGGCCAAACTGCAATTTGTCAAGCAAACGTCACATGTAATAAACTGGCTGCACGTGAGCCGGGAGCGCTCAGAGAAGAAGAATTCAATGCGCATGCGCACGCGCTCCGAACTGAGCGCTCGCACCTTACTGTCGAACGTTTTGCATTACGGTGCCTAATTTAAACCATACAAATATTAACTCCGTCGATGTGGACGACAGTTCAATTAAAGGTGATGATGCGACGATAATCAAATCAAAGATCTCTTCAGCACACTGGACAGCACTCATCGACAATGACCGACAGTTAACGGCCGTCATTTTTACCAAAGCAGAATGGAAAGCAGCAAAGATGAGCCACCGAGGACCCAAAGGGAGATCACGGACAAAAACTTGCAACAAACCAGCTGCTATTGACTTTGGACAGAGTCATGAACTTATTGGATATATTTCTAGAATTACTCATCGTTGTAATTGCAGTGGTGTCACTCGTGGCGAACTTGCTGGTGTTACTATGTTTCACCTGCAGCGCACAAGTTCGTGCACAGGTGCCAGCGATCTTCATCATGAACCTCTCATTCTGCAACATCCTCATCGCTGTTCTCAACATGCCTTCTACCCTGCTTGGGGTCGTAAAACACCAAAAGCCTTTCGGCGACCACTTTTGTTATATAGTGAGCTTTATGGATACTTTTCTGACAGCCAACACGATGTTGAGCATGGCAGCTCTCAGCATAGACCGCTGGATAGCCGTGGTTTTTCCTTTGACTTATCACAGCAAAATGAGACTCAAGAATGCCGCGCTAATGGTCAGCTATGCCTGGCTTCACTCGCTCGCATTCTCGCTCACTGCTCTGCTGCTGTCCTGGGTCGATTACAGTCCCGCGTACGCGTCTTGCACCGTGCACCTGAGAGAAGATGCTGAGTGCCGCGGTCACTTCATGGTGTTCACCGCGGTCTTCCACGCGTGTACCTTCGCCTTCTCTCTTTTCATCCTATGCTTTGCCTACCTAAAAGTGCTACAAGTGGCGCGCTTCCATTGTAAGAGGATAGATGTCATAATGGTGCAGACAATTTTACTACTTGTCGACATTCATCCGAGGTACATTTAAAACATTATATAGCAACGATTACAACATTGTTGTACATATTATAAGTATTCGTGACGTGTTCTTTGAAACTTTTAGTGTAAAACAACGGTGCTTACTGGAGCAGAAGAAAAGGAGACAGAGGGCCACTAAGAAAATCTGCATTTTCATCGGGTCGTTCGTCCTGTGCTTCGCCCCCTATGTCATAACACGGTATTGCATTATGACAATACATTTTAGTAGAATGGAAGGAGAGCATAAAATAATACAAATAATTATCTGTTTGATTCAGTATTCTCTTGCTGACAGTCGCATGATGCGAAAGAAATATTATGAAACATCAATAATACCAAGACCAGTGTTGTAAATGTAATACGTTACAGAGTGCAAGTTACCCTATTTAAAATGTAATAAGTATTGTGATTATTTAAATTACTTTATGTAGTAGAATGGAGCGCATAAAATAATACAAATAATTGTAAACATTTTGCAAATACTTTTAGCATGATGCAGTGAGAACAGTTATTATGATTTATGAGAACAGATATGATTTAAATAACAATAGTATGTTTTTATATGCATAGGCCTAATAGTACAGGGAAGACCAGGGCTAGTTGTCACATTTTTCTACTCAAGGGAATATTTCTTTGAGTAATAATAATACATAATAATTAATAATATGTAATAATTTACACATACTCTCCATATGTAAACAGATATGACAGTACTTCAATCGCAATAGTAAGTGCACTGTATAATAGTACAAAAGAGACTGGGGCTAGTTGTCACATTTTTTAACCCAGTGAATATTTCTCAGAGTGGGTTTATTTTTGAAGACCAATATATGTATATTTACATACCTTAAAGCACTGGATACAATAAAGCTATTGAACATTGTTATGAAAAAATACACTTTGTTGCAAGAAGGCCCTGTTATTTAATGATTTTTAAATAAACCTCTGTATTAATCCGACTACTATACTAGGTGCTAGAAAACACCAATTTATTGTCATTTGTTTACAGCATGGTCATAAATGTTCAATTCCTCCAATACAGTGCCATATTAAATGTTTCTTTATTAATATAGATGATTCTTTTGTCCTAGACTGACTGAACTGGCTCCTTCAGTAAAAATCGCTCGTTATTGGGGGATCATGAGCAAGTGCTTGGTGTACAGCAAAGCTGCATCTGACCCTTTCGTCTACTCCCTCTTACGGCAACAATATAAGAAGGCCCTTTTTGGAATTTGCAACAGGATTTTGGGACGGAACTTATACACACTTTCTGGTCACAGCAGTCCCTCAGGCCTGGAAAATGAATGCTACTCACAAAGGGTTAACAAGCTGATGGAGGATAACTGTCACTAGAGCAGGTGAAAAAGGCTGACAACTGACACCCTCAAAAATATGTGCTCAGCATTGGGCTGGTTAGTCAGTGGCTAAATGCCACACCAAACTGCCTATAATTTCTGAAATAATGGTGTGTACACTGTATCATTTCTGGCTGTTAAAACCATGGTAGGTCAAAATGTTTGACAATCACTGGATTTTCTTTTATTGAGTTCAGACCATGAAGTTTTGCACACTCATCTGCTATAAATGTATGACTCTTTATTCACAACATAGTACTGTAATGTGTATTATATTGTACATTCTGAAATAAAATTATAGTAGAAGAGTAAGGTATTTATCATTAAGAAGTGATGACCTGCACTTACTTTAAAGAGCTAATTCTACCTGATTAATCCCATAACATTTAGTTTTGTTGTGAATTAATGTGTTTACTGTAGGTTGATTCAGTACTAAAGTGGCCAATCTGTCCAGAACGCACCTTTTTTTTTTTTTGAGGGGGACACTTCCACTAACTCTACCCCTAATCCTACCCCTCACAGAAAACTTTCTGCATTTTTTTGATTTTCAAAAAACTCTATATGACTTTTAAACTGTTTTTCTCATGGAGACAAAAAAAAAAAATACTGATATTTACTATCCTTGTGGGGACACTTGGTCCCTGTAGCATGAGGAATAGCAGGACCACACACACACAAACAAACCATAAAAGTACATTAAATAGCATGAAGACAAACCTACATCTCTCATGTCATTAAAAAATTACATATTAAGAACTTTATTCTGCCAAGTACAGCCATTGGCTCGACACGCAGGGTCATTAAAACTTGTTCTAAAGCCACTCCAGTGTTGTCTTGGCAAGGAGTTGTAATGCTGAAAGGTGATATTTAGCCCTGTTGTTTAAAAATTCTGTTTCTGTTTGATTCTGTATTCTTTTCATCTGTTGACCTCATCGAATTGCCATTTGGCAAACTCTGGTTGCAACAGCAATTTATCTTGTAGAAGTTATATGTCTTTTAGAAGTAAATTACAGTTGACAGTCACATGATGTGAAAGAAATATTATGAAACATCAATCATACCAAGACATACTGAAGTGCACGGCTTTTTAACACTAAAATGCAGTTAAAGAGTTTTTTCTACAAATTGGTGTAACCAAATGCCAAGTTCTTTCATGAAACTCTAGACGGCGCAGGCTGATGGGTTTTTAATGTAACTGATGATATTCACAACGTTAAACGACTTGGCACAAGCTGATTGGTTCATGCTGCTTATGCAGCCAATGAGCTTACTGCTTTACATTTAAATGGCTGGTTAGCATCCACTTGAGCATTTTGCAGCACGCTTTCAGAGTTCCTCTGAAACCCTCCACCTTCCCCAGCTCCACCTGTATAGATCTGCTACGGGTTATTTGATATGCTTTATATGTGGCAGCAGTATATCTTAAATACTCACAGCACTGTATCGCCGTATGCATTGGTAGTAGCAAGTTCCTGTACTTGCTTGCAGCAGCTGCAATAATCTACAACTACAGCAATAACCAACAGCAGCAGCAATTCAGACGATTGAAATACAGTCAGCTTGAATCAGTCATTCATGGTTAGTTTTTACAGTGTATGTTTGGAATTTTATAAAGATAAAGTCATAAAGAAATGTGCAGGTGTGTAGTAAACACATTTCCAGACATCCACGGCATTGCCCTTTGACCACTGTGTTCTTTGACCTGACATACTAACAACAAACAAGAAAATCTATACAACTGAAAACAAAAGGAACAACTTCTTGTCCTAGAATTTAAACTTAAAAGAGCCAATTCTGCTCCATTTATCAGCTTTATAACAGCCCCAGTGAATAATGAGTGGATTATTATTCAAATAACCTACTGCTTTTTGCATATTGTGTTAAGTTCCTATGTCTCATATAGGCTGCTACATAGATGTTGGTCTGAAACAGTGAAGAGTGGGGCTTTATATAGCCAGGTGGACACAGGCCTTTCTGAAAACCATCCAGGCAAGGGAATTTACCTCACACTGGGAGATTGGGAGTTCTTGAAGATGACAAGAAATTCACATTAAAAAACCCTCAGTGGTTTTGAACTAAGTCTATGCCACAAAGGGGGTAAATGTGAAGTCAGGCTTTCCTAAAGGACTGTAATTACAGTGGGTCCCAGACACAGGAGAAGAGCGGCCGCCTACCGCGGAGAAACGTTTTGCTGTAATTTGATCATTTGGCAGCGCTGCTCGTGCAGGCTCTCCTTTAAGCGATGGGGGTAGCGGGACTTTTCGGAAGATGATCAACTTTGTACGTCGTAGCGACTGCCACATCATTCAGTTTATGGACAGCAAAATGCTCACGGTTTTAATACTTTTAAGCTCACTGGCGACATGCTGGAGCGTCCCAAGAAGATGTACTCCGGAAGAAGCAGCAATAGGTAACGTTATTCATTCAGTGTTGCACCAACGTTAGTAGGCTACAGTTAACTAATGCTCAGAGGTTTACAATATAGCTTCACTACTTAGTCTTGAACGCTCTGTTGAAATAGGTTTCTCCTGATCTTAAATACATTTTTTTAAATATGTGTCTTATGTTTAAATGCTTAAAAGTTATATGCCTAAAATTTCGACGAATATGAATTATTATTGTTGTTGCTATTATTATTATTATTATTATTATTATTAATATATGATTTTACTCATATATCAGTATATTTTTTTACTCGAAAAAGTTCACAGCACTTTTAAATAGCCTGCTGGTTAGAAAGCATCCCAAGATGCACCTTATGAAGCTGGTTGGTTGAATGCCCAGAAATGTAATCTAGGCAACGGGTCGTTGCTTTAGGCTACTAAAAAGCAAAAATATTTGTTTTAAATATTAATATTGGCAAAAAAAAAAAAAAAAATGTAAATAGTTTAATAAAGAATGAGTGGGTGTGTATAAACGTTTGATTGGCAATATAAATGCTCAGAGGTCAAAAAATGTTTTGCTTGTTTACAAATGCATGCCCCAAGTGTGTGATGATTTGAAATTGTTATACAATATTCGAGCAGAAAGATGGCTTTCTTTCCACTGTGTACTCTACTGCCATCTAGCCTTCAGACACCAGAGTTTGCAACGGTTTCAAAACATCCTCTGTGAATAATTTATTTATTTGTAATTTTTTTTAGGAAGATGCAGAACACCTGCAGAAGAGAGGCGTAAGTTTTTCATTTTATTCTGCTGTGCATACTGGGCCAGATTACGGACTACCAAATATGCAATTGTTATATCTTGTTGCTTGGTTTTCTAAAATTTAGACTGCAAAAACATCTAGTGTTTCACAGCTCTAGCCTGTAAGGTATGGGGGAGAAAGGAACTCTGAATACCAAACATCACTGCAAGATGAGACTTGTCTATACATCACTGTAGAAAGGGAAAGACATGATATATTCTCAAAGACCTTAGGCTAAATGAATGAATGATTTGAGATAGCATATACAAAGGTACAGTCTATCATTACTTTAAAAGGGCCAAATTAATTAATGTGTTATATTAAAGGAATAGTTCACTCAAATATGAAAATTTACTACCATCAGGCCAAGATGTAGATGAGTTTGTTGGAACAGATTTGGAGAAATGTATCATTACATCACTTGCTCATCATTGGATCATCTGCAGTGAATGGGTGCCGTCAGAATGAGAGTCCAAGCAGCTGATAAAAACATTACAGTAATCCACATTACTCCAGTCCACCAGTCTTGTGAAACAAAAAGCTGTGTTTGTAACAAACAAATACGTACATTATTAAGGCATTTTGAACTGTTACTTCTGGCCAAAATATGAGTCCATAATCCATAATAATGCTTCCTCCAGTGAAAAAGTCCATCCCTTGTTGTCCTCTCACATCAAAATCCACCAATATATTTGTTTAGAACCATTTTGGACTGTTTTCGCATGTAAACAGTGCTTGATATGTTTTTTACTGAAGAAAGCAATTTTATAGAGGACCGATCATATTTTAGCTGAAAGCAATGGTTTGAAATTTAAAAAAAGTCTTGATGCATTTGTTTCTTAAAAACACACCACTTTTAGCTTTACAAGACGTTAATTGATGGATTGGAGTCATGTGGATTATGATGGCACCCATTCACTGCAGAGGATCCATTGGTGAGCAAGTAATGTAATGCTAAATTTATTTAAATCTGTTCTTATGAAACAACAAACTCATCTACATCTTGGATGGCCTGAGGGTAAATTTTCAGCTTTTTTTTTTTTTTTGGCAAACTATTGCTTCAAACAAGCAATACTCATTATGAGTGTCACATACTGTTATTGTAAGGAGGTACTGCATTTATTACTAAACTGTTACAAACAGGCTGAATAGGTGAAGCGTTTGTGCATTTCTTTCTTGAAACTAATATAATTCATACATTTGATACATGAGGCACTCCCTTCAAAATTTTGTATTAAAACATTCCACTGCAGATGACATTCAACAAAATGTTCCAGTCCAGGAACTGGGAGCAGATATAATAAACGTTGACTATTACAGTTTCCATATTAAATTAAAGTAATGCTAGACCACACTGTCTGTGACACATTTTTTCTAAATGCATTTCTTTCTCTCCCGTCCCTAGTGCAGTGTATGGAGATGGTGCTTGGTTACTGTCAGGATGTGCCCTACAGCCACACCACATTCCCCAACATCGTGGGCCATCGTTCACGGCAGGATTTAGAGATGGGTGCAGAGTACCTGCTCTTGAGCGTGATTCACGGCCTGCTGAATGGAGAGTGTTCTCCAGACATCCGTCTGTTGGGCTGCTCAGTGTTGGCTCCCCGTTGTCAAGACAACAAGCTAATGAAGCCGTGCCGCAGCTCGTGTGAAATGGTGAAAAAGAGCTGTATTCATGCCTTTGAGGCCATCCAAATGGCATGGCCTTACTTTCTGGACTGTGACCGATTCTTTGTTGGCGATGAAGAGGGCTGTTATGACCCATTGTCAGAGTTAAGAGGTAAGAGTTGTGAAGAAATTAAAGTAAAATTAGAGTTAATATAAATGATTAACTAATAGGCTTAAATGCTTAATTTATACTTAAAAAGTATTATTTAATTATTAATTATTACATATTTATTTAATGAAATTCACATAAAAATCACCTAAATGCAGATCATCCCAAGAGTTGTGAAGATGTTAAATAGGTTGACTTTCATAACTTCATGATGTTTTATTATCTTCAGGGATATGGATTAAATGACATACTTAAAATCTATAACATTTTCACGTACTTTTCTCCCCTCAGAAAAGCAGGAAGTGGCCTTTGCCAACATATCTGATGGTGGTATTTTCACTATCATTCAGTTCACTTACCACACCAACTCTCAGATGTACAGCATCCTGAAGAAGACAGCATCAAAATGCTCTCATATCTCACAAACGTATAGCATTGGGCGCAGTGTGGAAGGAAAAGACTTGCTGGCTATTGAATTCTCCAATAACCCTGGACAGCATGAGCTATGTGAGTATGAGGAACATTATTGTTAGAAAAAGTTTGGGGTTAGTAATTTTTATGTAACAAAATTAATACTTTTATTCAGCAAGGATGCATTAAATTGATGAAAAGTGAAAGTAAAGACATTTATAATGTTACAAATTATTTCTATTTCAAAGAAATGCCTTTTGAACTTTCTGTGTTACAAATATTTCAAAGAAATGCCTTTTGAACTTTCTGTTAATCAAAGAATACTGAAAAAATGTAATGTATAATGTTTACACAAAAATATTAAGCATCACAACCGTTTTCAACATTCATAATAATAGGAAATGTTTCTTGAGAAGCAAATCAGAATATTAGAATAATTTCTGAAGGATAGCATGACACTGAAGAGAAAATTCAGCTTTGCCATCACAGGAATAAATTATATTTTAGAATATATGAACACAGAAAACTCGAAGATTGTAATAATATTCAGCAATATTACAGTTTACTGTTTTTGATCAGATATTAAATTATTAAATTAAATTACAAATTAATTATTAAATTATTATTAAATTATATATGCAGTCTTGGTAAGAAAACCCTTTAAAAAAGACTGACAATAAACCTTTGAATGGTAGTGTATATTGTAATACTAGTTTTTACAAAAGAACTGTGAAAAACACCTATTCGACCTCCTTGGTTTTAACTTGTAATGTCATACAGCATACTTTTCTTGTTATTTCTGCCATACACACCAGTAAGTGTAATAAACAGTTCTAAATTCAGCATTTGTTTCTTCACTGCCCTCTAGTGGAGCCAGAGATCAAATTAATTGGGAACATGCATGGAAACGAGGTTCTCGGCAGGCAGCTGCTGATTTACCTGGCTCAGTATCTGTGTTCTGAATATCTGCTGGGCAATGAGCGAATTCAGACCATCATCAACACCACACGCATCCATATCCTACCCTCCATGAATCCTGACGGCTATGAGATTGCCGCTTCTGAGGTAGCCGATAGGAACGACCCCGAAAACATCTACCAGGAAGTAAATATTTTGTTGTCTGAGTCTGTCTGCCTGTCTGTTTGTTGGCTGACTGACCATACCAAGCTCCCTGCACCAGAGAGTGTCCTCCGGAACAGGTCAGACCTCGGAGGAAGTCCATGTCAGGCAAACCACAGCCCTTGCTACTGTAGAACAATTGTTTCATTGTTGAGACAGTTTTTTTTAACTGCCTATGATATAAAAACCATAACAAAACAAGCATAAAAAGGTACAATTGGTCCAGTGATACAGCTATGAACTGAAAAAGACAACTGGTAGAGGGAGGCCTTGACTAACCACTCTAATAGACAATTGTTCGCATTTTCTTTGTCATATAACACAGCAGTAACATTATCTTGCAAAACTAATAGTAGATTAATCTAAATCCTCTAAAACGTATACTGATCACCACGGGTGATGTTGAAGAATATAATGGGTTGTGTTGGAAACAATTGTAAGACAGTTTATTTAATCAATAAAATTTAAATAATCTTTTATATTTTTATAATTAGTAACAATTGTTTGTTTATTTATAAAATATGAAAAGAATCCCACCAAATTATGTTAGATTAGATAACATAAAAATGAATTGAATCTTAAATAAGAGGATAAAACCGTGTTGGTCCATTCATTTACCACTAACAGACATAACTTTGCCTGGTTCTGATGTTTTATGTCTTTTTATTGATTTATTTTCATTTACAATCTGTAGTCTTTTAACACTTGCCCTCTTTTTGACATTCTTTCTTAATGTTTGACTTCATTTTGACTTTCTGATCCATCCAATGTGTTAAACTTGATGTGTAGCAAATGTTTTACATTAGGGCTGTAAAAAAATGCCTGAAAAACTAAATTTGAATTTTGTACTTAATGAACAACGCAGCAGCGCCGCATCTAGTGGCTTCAACTGGATAGGCCAGGGATCCTCAAATCTGGCCCACGAATAGACTAACAAAAACATTCTAATGCAACGACACCTTACTTTTACTTTTTACTTTTAGTCATTTAGCAGACGCTTTTATCCAAATCTAACATAACACTAAGCCAAACAGCAAAAAAACAACAACTACATGTTATGACCTACATCGTCATCGCATCTTGTGCGCCACTAATAAGGCTGCCTCCTTAACGCACACCTACAATTCGAATGCAACGTTTTTGCATTCGAATGTAGATTTTTATTTTAAATTCGACGAATATTCGAAATTCAAATTTTTTTTGACAGCCCTATTTTACATGCGACTTACAAAAGAGTAATTTGTATGTGCTCAAAATTGAAAGTTCTGTCATCATTTACTCAACCACATGTTGTTCCAAACCTGTATGCATTTCTTTCTTAATTTTGCCCTTTGACTTCCATGGTGGTTTTGCCCATATGATGGAAGTCAATGGGAACTAAAACTGCTTGCTTACCAACATTCTTAAAAAATATCTTCCTTTACATTGCACTGAAGAGCCATACAAGTTTGGAATGACATGGGGGTGAGTAAATGATGACAGAATTTTCATGCTTGGGTGAGCTATACCTTTAAATATTTAGTGACTCTTTTTGAAACCCTGTTCAAATTTGTCCATGGTTTTTGACTGATGAGATTTGTTACATTTAGGGTCATGAGTACAACGGGTGGACCAGCGGTCGGGCCAATGCACAGAATCTCGATCTGAACCGCAACTTCCCTGACCTCACCTCCATCTTCTACAATCGCCGTCGCTTCAGACATTTCCGTAGTGACCACATCCCAATCCCTGAGTCTTATTGGTTAAATAAGGTAGAAGTAGGAATGCACAGCCATTTCTATCAAACATACAGCTGTGCAACAAAAAATACACTCGATTCATGTTCTGTGTGAATATCTGAATAACCTTTGGAAATTCGGAAAACCCATGTTACTCTGGAATGAAAAATCAAATAGAATATGATTTAGAGGAAAGCATAGAGAAACTTAGAAATTTTGGACATTTAAAAAATTATTATTTTTTTTTACATATAATTACATGTTTATTTATTTTATTCATAACTCACACATTTTTTCCAGGAAGTTGCACCAGAGACCTATGCTGTAATGAAGTGGATAAGATCCTTTCCTTTCGTTATATCTGCCAGTCTTCATGGTGGAGAACTGGTCATCTCATACCCTTTTGACCTCTCTAAACACCCACAAGAAGATAGGATGTACTCTCCCACACCAGATGAACAAGTGAGTAAATGAATGTTCCTCAACCAGCACTTAATTCTTTTGCACTTACTTCATTTTGTGAGTCATTTGGTGTTTGTAGATTTTTAGGCAGTTGGCTAGGACATATGCAGATGCCCATGCCACTATGTCCAACAATGACACAGAGAGATGTGGAGCCTCATTTGCCAATAAAGGAGGGATAACCAATGGAGCACAGTGGTATAGCTTTGCTGGAGGTAAACACTTTTGTTAAATAAAGAAGACCATGTTGATCAGGGCCGTCCTTAGCTGACGTGAGGCCCGGTGATCCGCGGTGATCCGCGTTCCGGTCCGTTCGCCACGGGGCCCCCTCAAGCGCGGGGCCCGGTGCGACCGCACAAGTTGCACTCCCTAAGGACGACCCTGATGTTGATCATGGTGCATTTGAGGCCTAATTAAAGCTGCAGTCCGTAACTTTTTTTGGTTAAAAATGATCTGAAATCAATATTTGAGCAAGTACATAACCAGCCAGTGTTCAAAACTATTGCCTTACTTTAGCCCGATTCACAACGGTTAGCTTATAATAATGTTTTCTCATTTGAGTGGTTCGGGTAGGTTTTCACGGGAAATTCGAGCATTGGCACTGCGTCATTACGTCACGTCTGTACTGAAGCACAAATGAAGAACAGCAGTTAATGATTTGCATGTGTTCTGTGCTATTTAATTATTTAACTTTAGACAAGACACTATACATTGTCTTTTGATGCACTGTTCAATTGAGTGATTTTAGGCGTTTTGGCTTTTCATAACATGTTGTTAATTCAGACTAGTGGGGGAAAAAAAATCCAAAATACACTTTTAAGTGTTTGTAATACAATCGAAATACAATCTCAAAATGTTTTCCCCCTTGCATTTAGTAAGAAATCTCCATTTTAGTAGCAGTTCCAGTTTATTTCATATCTATATTCTGAAGGTTTTTTTTTACAGTGGGGTTTGTGATATTATTCACTTGATTTTATACAACATTTTATACCTAAAAGCATGCTGAAAATGTATTTTTCCCCTGGGTGTTGACAGTATTTTCTGATTTATGGAGTGATAAAAAGAGATATCCAAAATCCAAAATCTTTAAAAACTTTTGACTCTAATTTGTCAATGAAAGCAACAATAATTTGAAACCTAGCTTTGATCCAATATTTATATTTCTGCAGAGTTTCTGCAAATTAGTGCATATTTAATTAGATAATGCCTAATTAGCATTTTTAACGTATCATTTTGGAAAACTTGTAATACAAAATATGTTTGCAATTCCTTATGTAATCAATTAACTATGGAGGTATGATGATATTTGTTAGTTACATTTTTACTGTTTTTTTTCACAGGGTGACTTGGCTTGGCTAAATGTTATTATGCCTGGAATTGACCTTATTTTTTTCATATTTATACTGTATTACATTCCTCAACTTTTTTCAACCTTTTTAATAGTACCTTCATCACTCTGAGTTGTCAAATTACTTGCAGGTCCACAGAGGTATAAAGGGCATTGTGAAGGATGAACATGGAAATGGCATAAAAGGAGCTACGATATCTGTTAGAGGGATGCGACATGACATCACTTCCGGTAACTATTTATAATAAAGTCATATAAAGTCGCACTTTTACAAACCTCGAGACCTGAAATGAGTCATGCAGATGTAAATGAGTGTTGCTGTAGCCTCTGTCTCTCTCTATAGCTGAGGATGGTGATTACTGGAGACTGTTGAATCCAGGTGTCCACATTGTGACTGCTGCTGCCTCCGGCTACTCTAAAGTATCTAAGCGCATTCATCTGCCAAGGAAAACACTGGTGGGCCGGGTGGACTTTGTGCTGAAGAAGGTCCCACGAGAACCCTCTCTTGACTACTTTAACATCCCTGAGCTGGACAACTATGAGCGTTTTGACCCATTTAATCAGTTTGAGCAGTCCAGCCAGAGGGAGCTGGGAGAGAATGGGGAGGAGAGGACTGAGAAGCCCTGGTGGTGGGCTTATTTCAGCCAGTTAGGCATATCTGCACCTACCTGGCTCCTGCGGAACTACTAGGGGCCCTCCGGACACCATTGGAAAGCAACCTGATACCTAACTGTTTGATGGCATCGTGAAGCACCTTTATTTTTAAGAGTGTAGGCCTTACTTGATTATGGTCATTGTGATGATAACATTATCTCCTTATGACATGCAAAATGTGCAGCTAACCACTGGGCATGGTAAAGGCTTTACTGCTGTTGCATTTTATAGACTACCATCATAAGTTTGAAATAAGTACTTTTTTTGAAAGAAGTCTCTTATGTTCACCAAGGCTGCATTTATTTGATAAAAAATACAGTAAAATTGTAAAGAAATATTACAGTTCAATATAACTGTTCTATTTTAATATTTAAAACGTAATTTATTCCTTGTGATGCAAAGCTACATTTTTAGCATCATTACTCCAGTCTTCAGTGTCACATGATCCTTTATAAATCCCTCCAATATGATCATTAATAATCATTCTAATATTATCAATTATTATTAATAATGTTTTTTTTTAGTATTAGCATTAGCATTGTTGAAAACATTTTGCTGCTTAATATTTTTGTGAGATCTATAATATGTTTTTTAAAGGATTCTTTGATGAATAGAAAGTTCAAAAGAACAGCATGCATTTGAAAAATAAATCTTTTGTAACATTATAAAGCATCCTTGATGAATAAAAGTTTTTTTCTCCTTCTTTTTTTTTTTTTTTACTTACCCTAAACTTTTTAAAGTTTTCCACACAAATATTATACAGCAACAAACTGTTTTTAACACTGAATAAGTGTTTCTTGAGCACCCAATCAGCATATTAGAATGAGTTCTGAAAGATCATGTGGCACTAAAGACCGGAGTAATGATGCTGAAAATTCAGATTTGCCATCACAAGAATAAATTACAATTTAAAATATATTACATTTATATATTACATTAACAATTATTTTAATTGTAGTAATATTTCACAATATTATTATTATTATTATTATTTAATAAATTGCTTTGGTGAGCATAAGAGACTTATAAAAAAAAAGAATTATTCCAAACTTAGTGTGTTTTAGGCTGATATAATAGTATCACCTGTACAGGTAAGAGAAAGATTTATTGTTTTCTCTATTATTTTTATCCAGCACTAGATCAAATCCCCCAACTGCAGCTATAAACAGCTTATTCTGATTCTGAAGTTTGGCAGCTAGACATAGGATGGATAGCATTGCATAATAAATAGTAAATGATAGCATTGCTGTGGTTTTACAGTCTGTTATCTGTTATCAGGGCACGTTTGTATATGTATTAATCTTTTTCTAGCACATCAGGGATGTTCAGTGCCTTTAAGGCTGTCATCAAATTGGTAAATGTACTGTTTTAATTAAGCCATAATAACAATTAAGGTGTCTTTCCCCTTTTTTTGCTGATATATAGTCCTTGAAACATGGACTGAACATCAGGTGTGCAAGATAAATAAAACAACAAACTTCTCTGCAATTTCTGATTTTTTAAAAACATTCCATTCAGTGTACATTAGAACTGGAATTTCTAATTGCAGCAAGAAGATAATAAAAAAATTTAAGGGATAGTTCACCCAAACATGAAAAATCACATTGTGATGGTGGTAATTACATTTTAAATATTGAGTAAATATTTTCTTTCAAATTATACAAATTACGGAGTAGCCTACCATTACATACACTGCTGTGGCTCGATTCATACAATGTAGGCTATAACAATAAGTGTTATTCAAAGTTTCTGTTGTAGTATTCAGTGTTTTTTTTTTTTTCTGTTGTGGTATTCAGGTCATGTTTGTTTGTTTTTTTAACTTACAAATGTAGTATTAAGCAAATCTTGGCCTGAATACTTTATACTGTTAGAATGCTTTCTTTCTCGAACCACTAGATGGCAACAAAGTCTGTATAATGTTGAATTTCAGCTCTATCTAACTTTAATGTCCAGGACAAGTGCAGGCTGCTGCAGAGTACATATTTGGTTTGAGTAGGGTATAATATACAGGTGCATCTCAATAAATTAGAATGTCGTGGAAAAGTTCATTTATTTCAGTAATTCAACTCAAATTGTGAAACTCGTGTATTAAATAAATTCAATGCACACAGACTGAAGTAGTTTAAGTCGTTGTCCACGACATTCTAATTTATTGAGATGCACCTGTATATGTCGAACATCAACTGACCAAACCCGGAAAACAGGTCTAATTGCTTCCGCTTGTCAGAGAACGTGTTAACAGCCGTTTTAAATAATAGCGATATCTATGGACTTTTAAGATAATCAGTTAAACTAGCTAGCTGTTTTTATTGTTGACGTTTTATTCAATTTTTATATCTAAATGTGAAAAGAATAAAAATTTAAAAAAACTTTTAGATATCAGTCCGCATATGTGATGGACATTGGTTATGATCATCACTGGTATCTACTTTGAAGGCATCTTGAGTAAAACTGCTTCATATTTAACTAAGCATATGCAAAACGCTTGAACCGGAAGCGATGAGACCCGGTTAACAGAATACGGAAGTCTGTTGCACATAACCCCTGTTGAATGTATTTTGGTTGCTGTAAAATGCTTTCCTTAAACGCTGGCAATGTCGCAAGTTTAAACTTAGAAATGTAGGTTTTTAAACTGGTAGTTAATTGATAAGAATTTTATATGGCTGATGCTGACACAGATATCTACACAACATGGGTATCCAATTAATACCAGAAATATGATTTTAGATGAAGTAAAAACATATGAAACCTAGAATTTGGAACAATTTCATATGTTAATATATGTATCTAGCCCATACAAATATGTACTGTTTGTTTATGTATTTGGAATACATTTTTGGACATAGATGTCATGTACATGCATATCCATATGCATATATAAACATGTAGATTTTTGTAAATTATATAACCCTTGATACAGGGTTCATCGTGTCAATTATAGTGGTACTGTAATTTTACTACTAAGAAGTAAATTGTGAAGTACAACTGATGTCGTAACACGGCAGCTGCAGCAGTATTCTTTACAGCTGAGCAGGTGTCTGTCCCAGTGGCTTTGTAAAGTAAGTCTGTAATGGCCTGTAATATGACTGCATCACTACACATCCTCCAAACACAAGCTGATGGAATTTTATATTCAGCAAACATCATAACTCGCAGCTGTAAGTGCCCTGGATGCATATCACACTGCCCGTCCTTATTGCAGCAAACAATTTTGACACATTAGCCTGAAGAATAATCTGAGAGGGGTCAAAGTATAACAGCAAAGGCGCCTCTGTAAGTGCCTTTTCACACTGCTTTGTCAAGTTCTGCAGTCTACAGTCACTGCACGTCTTTCCTGCAGCCAGTTCATCTTCAAGGGTTTTTAGTTACACTTAGTAGTCTGACAGCACACCCTCAGGAATAATTACATAGCCTATGTACTTCACCTCTGAATTAGACTTTGTCATCAGAACAAAAGAAAGACATTTGAACATGTGGCACCCCCTGTACTGCCATCACAAAAAAGCAACATGGTGGTAAGATTTGCTGCATATTTTTGCAACATTTGGCCTTACAAGATGCTTGTCTCCATATGCGTGTCAAGATTTGGTACATATACTTTAACATCTATTTGTGGCTTTGGCAGGTCTTGCTTACTTTTTACTCATTCTTACAGCACACGTTTTTAAAGACAAATTTTAAACATATTTAGTTAATACTTTTCCATCACGACTTTCCCGTGCATAAACCTTGGTCTAGGTTTATATATATATATATATATATCTGTGTGTGTGTGTGTGTGTGTGTGCATGTATATATATATACACACACACAGATAGATAGATAGATAGATAGATAGACCCCGCTTGCATTTAGATAGATAGATAGATAGATAGATAGATAGATAGATAGATAGATAGATAGATAGATAGATAGATGGAAAAATATAACATTTGGCACAAAAAGTTAGCGAGTTTGGAATTAATCATTGTGCTCAAATTATTACTTTGCTTTCAATATTGAAACAAAATTTCCTACATATTCTGTAATGGAAGGCCATCTAAATGTGAATGAAAGACAATAAAAAAAAAGCATAACATTAACTTCTTCATAATTATATTGATGTAATATAATAATAATGGACCACTCTGCAAGAACTCTATAGCTTAGTTTTTTTTCATCCCACAGTTCATCCTTATGATAGAGTGGCTTCTTAAATAAAACCTCTTTGTAAGAGCTGAGACCGCAAATGATTCATCCAGAAAACTAATGAACTAAATGTTTGCACATTTATCCTCAAGCTAAATGGGTCATTCCCATTTACTGGCAGTTTGTCACATGCTCGTCTCTGAGATGTTTTCTAACAGAATAAAATACTTTTTTGCTCGATTTCCTATGTCATCTGCAGTGTTGGGGGTAATATATTACAAGTAACGCAAGTTACATAAATTAAAGTAACTTTCCCCAACACTGGTCATCTGTAATTATCTCTTTCTTTCTTTCTTTCTCTTTTTCTAGCACTCAGTGAGGATATCAACTCTCATTTTTCTCTTTCCCCTTTCCTCCAACTTTAGATTAATCTCTGCTTTCTCAGTTTTTATTTTCCCATTAGATTTGCACGCAATTCAAACCCTTCCTTGGATGCTTTCCCCATAATTGGAGGCACAGTACACTCTTAAAAATAAAGGTGCTTCAAAAGGTTCTTCAAGCGATGCCATAGAAGAACCATTTTTGGTTCCACAAAGAACCATTCAGTCAAAGGTTCTTTAAAGAACCATCTCTTTCTTACCTTTTTATAATCTGAAGAACCTTCTTTCGCCACAAAGAACCTTTTGTCAAACAGAAAGGTTCTTCAGATGTTAAAGGTTCTTTATGGAACCATTTAGACAAAAAGGTTCTTCTATGGCATCGTGAAGCACCTTTATTTTTAAGAGTGTACATAAACAATGCAGCTTCAGTTGGAACATGTCAGCATGGAATCCGTGGTTTAGGCCTATGCATCCATGTAAAAGAGCTCTCTTGCTCTCCTGCTTTCTTCATTCTCTCTTTCCCGGCGGTGAGGTGTGCTCAATGTGGCAGAGATAATTTGTTTGCTTTG